CCTTTTGGAAGCACTTGCAAAAAACATACCCTGTTGTCTTTCCCTCAAAGTAAATTATCACATTGAGATTTATTTAGATTATGTTTATGTCTGTGTTTGTTAAATTATTAATATTAGAGTTCCTGGTATTTGAGAAGAAAATGATCTTTGAGAGTAAACCTATAACATTTGATAAAAAAACATTTCATGTAATCAGGGGCGGACCGTAGTAGAGACCCAGGGGGGCAGTGGCCCCTCCAACAATTTTTTTTAGTGTATATATATACCAAAAAATAATTTTCGCCCTCCCAAAAAATATATTTTTTAAGTTACCGCCCTTCCAAGATAAACTTTCTGGGTCCGCCCCTGCATGTAATAGAAAGTGAAAACAATCTAAAACTCCCACTCACTTGATTTTGATTTGAAAACATCTTACACAAAATTAGTACTATATAAGTGGTACACAACTCCTCTAGTTATCTGTGTATGTATGCATGCAATTCGTTTGAAAATGACAGGATTTTATGTCACAACGTCTGTGGACACAGACAATGTACAATTTGTGTACAAAATTTGTGTACACAAAAAATAGTTCTTTTGGTTTTTAGCTATATGAAACTGAATTTAAGTAAAAACACAACTCCCTCCGTTCCATTGAGTTTTGTCAATTTTATTTTTAATTTGTCCTAAAAACTATCGTTTTCATTTTAAAGCAACGATTTTTGGTTCTATTTAATAATCTATCATTTGCCCAAATCTCAAGCACACATTTTTCCAATTCTTATTTCATACTCAAATTAAAGTAGGTAAATGCCCAGCAGAACAGATGAAGTATATTATACATTTATACATAGTAACTTTTTTAAAACTAAAAACCGGAAAACGTACATTTTTTAAGCAATACTATGTAGAAAACGGCCACTTAAAAAACATGATGCATCTGATAGGTGACCGATCTAGGACTAGCTAGACATCACACTACGAAGTGCAATAGGTTGACTAAGAAGCTGTTCTGTTCGTCTTATTCTTATTACTTATTGCTTATTCTTATTTTATTAGATTAGATCAGATCAGATCAGAAAAATTCAGATCAGATCAGACTAGACCAGAAAGATTCAGATCAGATCAGATCAGATCAGATCAGAATCATTCAGATAAGATCGGAAAGATTCAGATCAGATCAGATCAGACCAGATCAGAAAGATTCAAATCAGATCAGAAGCATTCAAATCAGATCAGATCATATCAGAAAATTTCAAACATGATTTACACTTTTATTATTATAAAATAATAATAATAACAATAATTATTATTATTATGATTATTATTGAGGTGATTATTATTATTATTATTATTATTATTATTATTATTATTATTATTATTATTATTATTATTATTATTATTATTATTATTATTGTTGTTGTTGTTGTTGTTATCATTATTGTTATCATTATTATTGTTATTATTATTGTTGTTGTTGTTGTTGTTATTGTTATTATTATGACTATTATTATTATTATTTATTATGATTATTTATTTTTATTATTATACAGAGTAATTATAATTATAATTATAGCTATAATTATAATCAGTGTAGTAGGTATAATTTTTTATAACTTTAATTAATTAAATATTTTTAGAATTTTGACTATAATTATAAATTATATTTAAATTATATTTATAATTACAATTATAATTATAATAATTATAATTATAATTAAAGAAATATTCAAATCAGATTAGAAAGATTCAGATCAGATCAGAAGGATTCAGATCAGATCAGAAAGATTCAGATCAGATCAGATCAGAAAAATTCAGATCAGATCAGATCAGAAAAATTCAGATCAGATCAGAACTTAATAAATTCATATCAGAAACATTCAGATCAGACGAAGAGAAAAACTTCTAAATTGATACTCCCTCCGTTCCTAATCTTTCTCCCATTTCGGCTGGGCACATTTATTAAGATAGTGAGATTTGTGTGGTGGAGAGAGAAATGTGTAAGAATGGTTGTGAACCACAAATTCTTTGCTAAAAGGGGAAAGAAGAGATAATTTTGGGAGGGACAAAAAAGAAAAGTTTGAAGAGAATTCAGGGACAGAGGGAGTATATGATTATGCCCATGATGAAGCATTGAGGCGATTTGAGACTGTTCATTCGAATAAAATTACTAGTTGGATAAAGAATGGTTATGGAGAAAGGAAATTACGACGTTTGTATAATGTATAATACATATATATGTACAATAAAATATGTATAAACATCATCGGCACTGTAGATATCTTTAACCTACTTTACATGTTTTGGAATTCCCATTCAATAAGGGCACCATACATGTTCGGTCCTTGCTCACTCCAAATTTGGTAAAAACATTGATTGTATGTGTAAAAACAGTTGTGTAATAATTTTTTTTGAAATATACTTTGTACCGGCCTAGTCCAATGTAACCTTCTGGCTGCACCATTGTGTGGAGGTGGTAACTGCATGGCCGGTCCTAGGGGGAGGGCAGCAGGGACGACCGCCCTAGGCCCGAAAAAAAGTATATAAATAATTAGACCCAATTTTTTTTCTTTATATGTATGTAATATGAGTAGGCTTCTTTTTTTATAATTTTAATTAATTAATTAGACCTAATGTGTAATTTTTGTTGACAAATTGAGAATTTTAAAACATAAGTAAAAAGTCTTGAACAAAGCTAGACAAGTTTTTAAAAAGAATATAAATTTAGTTTTGAATTTTAAATAGAGTTGGTTGTAAGTCAACACATTTGTTGTTGAATCAATAAAAACATGTCTCTTCACATCTTTTTAGTCTTTAAGATTTTTTTTCTTTTAATTACAAAATTACCAATTTATATTATTTCTTTGGGCCGCCGGTGCCTCCCAATTCTCAAACATCATCCCAATTATCTATTACACCTCAAAAAACCTAATGGATTAGCGATTTTAACATTGAACATGTGATCTTGGAAAAGATTGATTATAAAGCAATTATTTATGATTTTACTTCACAATGTTCTTTTATGATGCATGTGTTGTAATAATATAAAGCAATTCTTTTATGATTTTACAATGTTCTTTTATAATACGTGTGTTGCAATTCAAAAAATATAAAGGTGAATTTCATCTTTATTTTATAACCTTTATTAGATAGTTGTAGGGAGAATTCCAAAATAGGAGTAATAATTTTTTCGAATTTCAAAATAAGACCGTGGTGTGTTTATTTTCTAAATAGGAGTAATTATTGTCATGTTCGTAAAATACTACCATGTGTAAAATATGATACTGCCAAAATATGACATTACTTACTTCTAATTAGAGAATAAAAACATGATAATCTTAGTTTGGAATATACAAACGTTTTTAGTCGTATTTAGATTAATTTCTCCTAGTTTTATTTTATTCCATAATTTTTACTTTAAGTAAGTATAATTTACTGTTTGTCTTGAAAAAAAATGACAAAATTGTATATCGCCCATAGGCCCAAAACTGGACAGGACCGCCCCCCGGTGCTCAGTAAATGTTGAGATGTTAGGATGTTTTTACTTAGACTGAAATTTGCTGGTCTGTTCTGGTCTGATCGAACAGGTCTGGTAAACATATGATCTCTGTGTATTTTATAACTAAAAAATTCAGGTCTGATCTAGTCTGGTCTGAGACTGAAAACAATCAAAGTAAAAGCATCCTTAATCAACCATTGGCGATTCTTCCATGCGACCATGCATGTGCTGTGCTAGAACTTTGGGAAATGTTTAAAGAGTTAGGGCACATGCCACTTGTGCGTTGAGTTACAAAGATAATGTTAGGTACCTCAAAGAGGATGAGTGCCTCGTGTTTTACATCTTTTAGGATTTATTGGTTGTGAAAGTACCCTTATTTAGGACAAAGTGCATGCTTAGGAGGACTAAATTGTGTCCAAATTTCATAGATGAGCCGCGAATTGAGTACAGTAAATCGTAGATTACGAAGTTGAGTAATAGTGTATAGCAGGACTAAGGCTATGTTTGCGTTTGCTCCTGCTTATTAAAAGTGATTTTTTTAGTAGATTATTGAAAAAGTGATTTATATTAAAAGCAGGTAGTGTTGAGAATAGAAGTGATTTTAATTAAAATGTAAAAATTGAAGTGTTTGATAAAAAAGTGATTTTTGTGTTAAATTACAAAACTAACCTCAAAGGTGTGCAAGTTAAATAATGAATTAAAAAATAAATTATTAAAATGGGAAGTCTGCGGTGTCATCAACCAGCCCCTACGCCAATTTCTCTCATCCCAAAACCCAAAACTCTCCTCAAAGAATTTCCGCTCCGCTCCTTGATACAATTCCAGTTCATCTTTTACTGTAAAAAAATGGCCCAATTTAGCGAAATTGGTCTGTCTCCTTGGGAGTTCGTGAGAGGACCAAAGCTTTTTGGGATGCTGTCAAAGCCCTTGCCGGAACAAAGTAGCAGTTGCCGGTAAATAACCCGATGTAACTGTCGCTGGTAAGGCGGTAATTGGCCGCCGGAATAACGTGAGCGGACGAACGGTTCTCAGAAGGATATGGAGCTTTGGGAACGGAACCCCCGGAAGTGACAAGGGTATTTCTGGAATAAGGCTAACCGCAACCCAACCCGTCAATAAATCTAATCCCCCTCCTGTTTATATGTATTCACTCAGTCAATTCAGTTTTTCTCTGCAACCCAGCACCGTCAATATATCCACTCAGCACCTTTTTTTTAAAATTAAATGCATATATCCTTAGTTATTTTATTACACGTCACTTATGTGTTATTTTTGTTTTACCCAATAATTATTGTTTAAAAACTCAAACATTCCCATGTAAAAAAATAAAAAATGTGAAATAATTTTTTTTGGAAGTATTACAAATGCGTAGTTTAGTTCAATTTGAAATAAATTTAAAACTATTAATTGTTTTTCAACTTTCTATAGTATTAATTTTTCATTTTATATACCATGAACTTGATTAATATTAAATTTAAATCAATTGAAACACATGTTGTAAAATTAAAATACCAAAAATCAATTATTAGAAACACACATAATATTCAATACGATAATTAAAAAAAGAGGAAGAAATCCTAATGCATTGCAAAAATAGAAAAAGCCACTAACAGTAGTAGCATTATTCATCCAAAAAAAAACAGTAGTAGCATTATTCAACTGAAACGATTGAAAAACATAAACAACATAAAAGTAACCCATTACACGGCATTCCCGTGATGGCCCCACAAATGATTCACGAGATCATTTTTAAGAGCAGTGTGCACCGCAGTGCTCCTGATGCGGTTATGCCGCATCATGTAGTCGTGCAAAGTCGGGGCATCGTGATTCAGATCAAACTGAATGTGTGGAACAATATAGTCATATTGTGCACTATAGTCTTGAGTAGTTGCATCATCATCATCAGTTTCTTCATACTCATCTTCTACAATCATGTTGTGTAAAATAATGCATGTCAACATTATATCACGTAATGTTTGTGTTTGATACATTCGGCCGGGTCCTTGTACGATAGCCCATCGCGTTTGTAAAATGCCAAACGCTCTTTCCACATCTTTGCGATAGGCCTCTTACTTAGCAGTAAAGAGGCGTTTTTTGGGGGTGTCAGGGTTACTAATTGTTTTAACAAAAGTAGCCCATGTGGGACAGATTCCGTCAGCTAAATAATAACATTGATTATAGACGTTATTGTTGACCATGTAATTTACCTGAGGAGTACATCCATTAACAACAGCATCAAAAACTGGAGAGCATGCAAGTACATTAAGGTCATTGTTGGAACCCGCCGTGCCGAAGAATGCATGCCATATCCATGTGTCGTATGAAGCTACGGCCTCAACTCTCAAGCACAATAGTTGGTTTGTGTTTGTGCCCAGTGAACTGTCCTGCCCATGCTGTAGGACAATTCCTCCATTCCCAGTGCATGCAGTCGATGGAACCAATCATGCCGGGAAAACCTCTTTTTGTAGCCTTCTCAAGAAGACGACGAAGGTCATTGGGGTTTGGTGTTCGCAAGTACCAAGAACCATATGTTCCAATAATTGCCTTACAAAATTTCTTCAAACACGACAAAGTCGTGCTCTCCCCTAGACGGCACAACTAATCCAATGAATCAGCAGAGCACCCATTTGCTAGCATGAATATGGCACTAGTAATTTTTTGGTGAGGAGAAAGTGATACCTTATTCAATGCATCTTTTTTTGGTGCAAAGAAAGGATCGGCTCGCACTACATCATTCATTATTCGATCAAACAAAGGCATTTGCATACGAAAATGACGCCGGAATATGGGGGCGTTATAAGTTGGATTTGGACTCCAATAGCCATCCATCAAACGTTGGTGGCCATCTTCCCTGCCTCGGTCAATGTACTCACGATGACCACCGGAGCTTGAAGAAATAAGTGTCGCCATAACACCCATTCTCATACAGTGAGCGTCGGCCTCACAATCATCATACTCATCTAAGGCTGCTGACATATCGGGATAATAACTCATGGTAAAGGAGTATATTAGAGTGTATACTGAAATGAGGGGGATAATGAGAAGGATTGAGTGTGAGAATATTGTGAAGTGAGGCATCTATTTATATACAAATATCAAGCAAGTGGCAAGATATTTTAAAAACAAGTGTGTACTTATTAGATGTGAAAGGACATACCAAGTGGCTACTAATTGCATGTGCAATGAACAACCAAGTTGGTACTTATTAAATATGTTATGAAAGGAGTAAAGGACTAAGCAAGTGGGTACTATCTTCATCTAAGCAAGTTGTTTTTATTCGTACATTTTTTATAAAAATAATGAATTATATAATGAAAACTGAAATTCAATTAAACTAAATAATGAACACTGAAATATACTGAATTAAATAATGAAACTGAAATGAAATTGAATTAAATAACGAAAACCAAGATACACTAGAATTAAATAACTAGTACAAAAATTGAAATACATCGGAATTAAATAACAGAAAGGAAAACTGAAATACACTGGAATTAATTAACAAAAATGAAAACTGAAAGACTACACCATTCATGCCCTAGTCAAAAGTAGGAAAGTGTCATCCCCATACGCAGAAGTGGCGGCATCAGTACTCGGGGCATCTTGATCATATCCCAAAATGGCATTTTGTTGTTCCCTTAGCCACTTCTGCTTTCTCGGTGAGTATTGACTTAGATCCATGGTTACGACATCTATATGTCTAAGTCTTGTAGTCGTATCAGCATTCACCTTAGCCGCCTCATACCGCTCCTCTCTTCTCTTTTCCATTAGGTCGCCTTGCTTCACCATTCTTTCCATGTACTCGAGCATCACAGGGTCCGTCCTTGAATTCTTATTTTTAACCATTTTCTTTCCCTTCTGTTTGTCACGACCCTCGGGGCGTCAAAGAGGACCACTTATACCATCGCAAGGAGAGGAACCACTACTTCCTCCAACAAACGTATCGGGAGTGACAGAAGGTATGGGCATAAAAGTGGGAGCAGTATCAAATTGATGATACCACTTTGGGCATGCTTGAAGTATATGCCAGGCATGGTCAAACTTAAAGGCCTTGTTATGATTGTCATTTACAAAGATTGTTTGTGCGGCAATTGTCTACAAAAACACATTTATGAATTAGATGCCAATTAAATCTTGCTATAAAACACTTATTAGATATATTTGCTACATTTATATGTAGTATGTATATATACAAATTAGATATCATGATACGTAGTAAGATTTTTGCTACAATTATTAGATATTACTTGATAAGTACTAAAATATCAATGTGTGAATATAATAATATATTCATTATTAATACGTACTAATATATAAATACATTAATATACATGTACGTACTACATATATAATATATATAAATATATACTATATAATAATATGTACTCATATGTTTGCACGTACTATACACACACACACTACATATATACGGAGTATACTATAATAATACGTACTAATACATATGTCCTATATACTATATACATATAATACATATATATAGTAATATACACATACATAATATATACGTACGTACATATATATTATACTATATACTATATATTAATGTAATATATATATAATATTAGTAATATACATAATTATAATAGAATGTAAAATAGAAATAATGAATAATATATTCATGTAATACATAAAATGTTGCAATAAAATTAGGGAGGAAATAATTTAAAATACCACATCGATCAGATTGGATCCACTTCTCTGGGTTGCATTTGCTTTTTGCAAACTTCCCTTCCATAAAGAACACTGATGATTAATAACTTTAAAGCGTGATTCAACAGCCTCCCTAGTTCGAACTATCGAATTTGCCTTTTCGCAGAACAGATTGTGAACTCGGAACCAGAATGAATTGCCTGCTTGATTGATTCCGACTGCACCATCTTCAGAAATAGACACCCAAGAGTTACACAAGAATACATCTTCATTGTAACTCCAATTAGAACCCCTCTTTTGTGAAGACATGTTATTAAGTAGTATTACAAATTTGCTAAAAAAATCAAATATAAAGTAGACGAAGAATGATGATTAAGGTGTATTGAAATGAAGGTATGAGTAATGTTTATATAGAAATCCAGTCCATTTTTAAAAAAAAAAAAACCAAAAAATAAAATAAATTATCAGCCTTTGGATGTACCTAAATTGTTTTGTATGTGTTTGATACAACCGTGGCCGTCCGATCCACCAAACCAATTTTTTGATTAAATCCCATCTTCAAAAATGAACCAAGAATCCAGCTCTCCCCCACTACACTTTTTCATACGTACAACCTATCCACTAGCCGGCCTTTTTGGCTTTTTCGTCGGCAACACTCCCGCAAGACTCACGCTCTCTCACGCACCAATTAACTCCACTGCTTTGGTATTCAGTTTGTTAGGCGTGTTGCGGGCTAGCCCATTACTTTTCTCCAAGATGGACTCAATTGCCCGGCCACAGATTGCTCCCCAGGGTTCTGCAGACTCCTGGTCACTCCCCCCTCTATGAAAAATTCTCCCGGTTGCAGTCATTTTGGGGTGAAAGTCTCACATTTGGGGTTTTCACCCCATGCATTGCAATCAACCTAATGAATAAGTTTAGCATTAGGATTATCCAAGAAGTTGGACTTATTTACGGGAAGACCCAAGAAGCATTTAAAAGCACCTCCTCCCTTGCTTCTGCTTTTAGCCAAAAAGCACTTAAAAATAAGCTGAAATATGTCTTTGCAAACACTATCTTTAGCTTTTAAAAGCTAAAAATCACAAAAGTGCTTTTAAAAAGCAATGGAAAACACACCCTAAATTGGGTGATGATCCTAGAGTCAAGTAACAAGAATGACAATAAATTAAGTAAACTAATGTGATCTGCCCCATCTAGTAGTTTAATTTAATGCATGCCTTTTTCAAAAAAAAAAATCCTTGTTCCAATTTTGTTGGGAAGATGATCTTATTGTTTCATAAGTAGTTCAGCTGCTGCCACACAAGATATAAATTCGAACCCAACTAATTAGAATGACATTTTTTTAGATAAAAAAGGGAAAAAATGAAGACACTCCATCTCCGAGGGCCTCAGCGTCAGTCGGACGTACAGTTAATCTAGCGAATGAGGGTCTAAACTAGTTATTGCAGAAGTCCTCTACATTTTTACTCAATAACCTTTCATCAAAGTTGACATTATTCAAACTCAAGACCTGTCCTTGTGGCACTCCCTATGTAGCTACGCCCACCGGCTAGATAGTTGAAGATGTTGACGTAGTGGAGTTGAAGTAATAGATGCCGTGAATTTATTGATTTCGCGATCTGCATATAATACAAATTGCCGGTCATTGTAAGGTAATAATGAAACATTACCTCTCTAAGTGCCGATCATTAATACAAATTGTTATTTGCTATCACTAATTACTGGAATGGAAGACCCATCAACTACATAATTTGGCATTTTCAAATTTATTGTACTTATAGTTTTCTTCAAAAAAGTCATTTATACTTAATTATAGAATTTAATGTGTTAAACTCTCTCGTAATGTACAAATTATGCGCATTAGCCTTTTGCGGTTAGATAATGTCCTAATCCTTTTGTGTTGTAACCCACAGAAAGAACAAACTTAACTACAAAAATGTACGGAGTAATAATTTATTTTATAATTTATATTTTTTGACAAATTCACGTGCATGTTTAATCATAACACTAAAGCAAGTGATTTCTAGATTACTAAGAGTCGGTTTGGTCCCCTATATCCATTTTCAACAATTGACATAAGTTGTTGGAAATGACTATTTTAGCTATATTTTCATAGAATCTTTTACTTATTCATTAATTGTATTTTTCAAATATAATTTCTTCACAATTTAGCAGATTCAGTCTTAATTCAATTAATTAATGCAGATTCAACTGACTCAACCAATTTTAGTGTTACAGCTCAAGCTCCAAATTTGTTATTTCAAAAGGCTATATTGTGTATAAGAAATTGGATTTGACATACTTTTTAATCAAGAGGGGCATATGAACATAATTTATATATTAGGAGGGGTTTGAGGCATTATACAAAAAATGATATGCTCTTTGTATATACATTCTTTATTGGAATACATAATTACTTGATAGGGGCCCTGTAAAGGCGTTGTGGATACTACTGTCTGAATCTCAGATGCTGGATATCTGACTACTGACGCGCAAACTTGTTGAAGTATTTCAACACATTGTGGTTTTATTTTGTTCTCCTTTACTTTGCTTTTATTTTTGGAATGTACTTTACCTTCCATTTCTTAAATAAAATTATTTTTTCCTAAAAAAAAAAGTTCAACACATTGTGGTACGTCGAGCGGCTTGTGGCACTGTTCGGGGGGGGGGGGGGGGGGGGGGGGTATGTGAGTCCTAAGAATGAAATGATGCTAGAGAACACTTGACATAGTTTGATTTCCATTCTTTTAATTTACCAATCAATTATTCTATCACATTCTAATTAGTTTTTATTAGTATGTACAGTATAACTTTCAGTTTAATAAATTCAAGATTTGTAAATATTAGATATAAGGGGTAATAGATGCGGCTTGGGGGTTTAGTTACAAACGATGCAGGGGAGTTTGTAGCCGGATTTGTCAAAATATGGCAGGGATGGTTATCTCCTTTGGAAGCTGAACTGGTGGGTATTCGGGAAGCTTTGAGTTGGATTAAAGGAAAAGGTTGGGATTCGGTGGATGTGGAGTCGGATTCTTTGGGTGCTATCAAGGAAATTCTTCATGGTTCGAGTGTGTCCTCACTTGGAGTCATCGCTGGTGTTATTCGAGAGATTATATTATTATTTTCTGATTTCTCTTTTTCTCACATTAGACGATCAGCGAACATGGCGGCCCACGAGTTAGCCCAGGCAGCGTGTTCTATGTCTGATGTATTTTTTGGGATGATTTTCCTCCTAGTTTTTTTTCACATGTACTTAACATGGATTCTATTAATGATAGTTGATCGATTTCTTCTAAAAAAAGATATAAATACGAGTGGTGCTTTAAAGAAATTTCGTCATCCAATTTGAAAGATATGTTACTACAGTATTAATCAAGGACCCGAAAGATAAAAAATATAAATATAGAGGCCGAAATATTTTAAACTATCAATCCAATACCTCAAATACAATAGACTTTGTTTTCTTTAATTTTTATTTATTTCTTTGCTAAACTTTGATGTTTTTTTGTTCAAAAAAGTTTATTAGTTTAATAAAAATAAATAACATTTAAGAAAAAAAATCATGATATTTTATTCGGAGTATCCAAGATTGACAATTTTAAATCATTTGAGCCATGTATTGACAATTTTAAATCTCAGGTTCCTAATTTATAATAATCTATTTTTTAACTGATAAAATCCTTACTTTAAAATTTAAACTTGAGGAAAAGGATTTAACTTATTTTCATCATAAATAATTATTTAACTTATTATCGGCACCACAAATTGAAGATGAAAGAATATGGGTGAAAATATATACCAAAAATTGGGATACCACACATACCATATTCAATATACTTATTTTATCGAAATTTTCGATACAACAACAACATCTAAACCTTAATCTTAAAAGATTTTGGGGTATCGAAATGGTACAATATGATATCGTACCGAATGATTTTGACGATCGACATATAATTTTAAAATTATCGGTATTTCGAAATCATTAGTACGATATCATACAGTACCACAATTTTCAATATATAAAAAGTTCGAAAAAATAAGTATTTTGAGTAAATTTCAATAAGACAAGTGATTTTAAAATTTCCGGTATTTCAATAGATCTCGTTATTTTTCGGTGTACCGGTGAACCCATAAAACATTTCAATCAAATTTCAGAACTTATTGAGGCCCAATTTACAAATCCAAAACTAGGAATCGAAAGTTCTTGTGCATGAGCCAGAAGGCCATATTGCTACGGTGCAGTCCGTGCTAGTGTGTTACCCCGCCACCGTAATACGGAGTATTTTTTGTTGGAAATAGGTGGCGGAATCAAAACCCACCGCCGCCGCCGCTCTTGCTTAATCTCGCAGTGCTGATCTAGTCAGGGAGATGGAAGGGATAGTAGAGATGGAGGTAGAAGAAGATTCTACTCTCAACTCTAACTCTTTCAATCGCGTCGGACTGAAAAACTCCATCCAAACTAATTTTGGAGACGATTACGTTTTCGAAATCGTTCCCAAGTATGTTTTTCTTATCTTCCCAAGCACTTGCTATTAATATTTTTAACCGCAGTATCTGAAAAGTTAATGTTTCTTTTTCATCATTCGCTTCCGGTGGTTAATATTTTGTGCTCATTCAATGAAAGCAGAGATGATTGGACGTCAATGGCGGTTTCATTATCGACAAATACGGTGAAATTTTACTCTCCTGTGAGTGGGCAGTATTTTGGGGAGTGCAAGGGTCACTCTTCAACGATTAATCACATTTCCTTTGCGAACAGCCCTTCAGTTTCGCATCTTCTGCATTCATGTTCTTCAGATGGGACTATCAGAGCTTGGGACACCAGAACATTCCAACAGGTTTACGACCTTGCCTTCTCTGTTTTTCCACATATCTGATTGGCTAATTATAATTGTTAATTTATTTTTATCAAATGCGTTTGTATTGTATGCAGGTATCCTGTATTTGTGCTGGGCCTTCTAAAGAGTTGTTCAGTTTCTCATTTGGTGGAGCTTCAGATAATCTTGTTGCAGCGGGGTGCAACTCTCAGGTGCACTTTCACATAGATGGAGTGTTTGTTACTTTTAGCTAATTTAAAATTAAAAACTTTCTATTCATACTTAGTTACCCAATACAGTAATAGAAACTTAAGAAGTTGCAGAGGCATAATACGATATTTATACACTCTCTATGCATTTTGCCTACGTACTCTGTTGTTCTTAGGACCTGTTCTCCTCATTTGTTTCTAGCACAAGATCAGACTTGCAACACATAATATTATATGTGGATGTGTGAAACTAGTCCATAACTGACTAGACTAGACCCTGAGAAACAGCCACAGAGGACATGCCCTTAGTTGGGGGGAGGGAGGTAGAATTTTCAGACTGATTTGGAAAGGGGGAATAAAACAGAGGGAGGAATTTATAACAACAGTACATTATTACATCATTTATCCTTACATCATTCTCCCTCCGTAACATAAATCATAAATATGTTCGCATTTCAAATGTAGGTAGATTAAGAATAGTGAAAGAGGATATACATTGAGGTTATGATGGTAAGAATGTAGGATAGTGGAATAGTGTGATGGAATGAAGGATAAATCCAAAAAAAAAAGTAATTGTAATAGTATATTATTTTCAAAATATTGAGAGTATGATGAGAAGATTTAGAAATGGGAAGGTCTTTTTGTTACCGATGAAAAAGGAAAGTGGAAAGATCTTTTCCGTTACGGAGGGAGTAATAACGTATTTACAGTTATTGGTTTTTACTGTTTATTTCTATTTAGTTCTCACCCTAGCTTGGGAATAAGCTGCAGTTGGTCCTGCTGGTTTAAAAAATAAGCATGTGCTTTTTTGCTCACCAAACTGAATAAGTGCGTGAAAGATAATATATTTTCCTTCCTTCAATTCTTTTGTGTGGCATTTATTCGCTTCCAAATGCAGTGCAGGAAAAGTAATCACTGAGCAGATGTCAATGTTATTTAAATCCATATTAATGGATTGCGTTGCATTTTGATATAGCTTCATGTATATTACTACCTCTCTCTAAATAAAAGTAGCAATTTACTATTCACAATTCAACACACTACTTTTGGTCTTTAACTATATATATCAGATTTTTTTGTCATATTCAAATTCAAATATTGCGATGTAATAATAGTTTTAATGTAGTCTATGTCATTTTAATTTCTAATTCTAATTAGAATATTGTCTTGAAGAAGTTTGCTTTGTCATTGGTCAAACCTCAATTTTCGCAATATACTTAACTTTTGGGACGGGAAGGAGTAGTGCTCTTCCATTCTGCAGACCTGTCTCCATTGTTTTCAGATGTAATCCATGTTATTTGTCATAATATTCTTTGCAGATACTTTTCTGGGACTGGAGGACCCAAAAACAGGTTGCGTGCTTGGATGAGTCGCATATGGAGGATGTTACTCAAGTATGTTCATGTTTTGCCATCATGCAGTTTATTCTTTATTGCTGTTGTTTGATTTTTTAGCTATCCTGTGTGATTCCAAGGGTTCTCACTTGTCAGTCTATTCTTGTTTGCAATAGGTTTTTTCTCATTTATGTGGTTTTTCCTTGTGGTTAAAAATAGGTTAAGTTTATTCCAGGCCACCAAAACAAGCTTCTTTCTGCTTCTGTTGATGGATTGATGTGCTTATTTGATACTAGTGGGGAAATCAATGATGATGATCATTTGGCCTCAGTAAGTAATAATTTTAGATGTTTAATCCACTCTGTTTTTATTCTATGTTATTGTTTTGTTCACATTTTTTTCATTTTTATACCCTGAAAAACGTATCAAGTTTGAAGTGTTGCATTTATTTATTATTGAACTAGTGTTTTTCAGTTTTTGCATTTAATCAACTTAATGCCTTAGCAAACTTCTTCCAATGCAGGTGTTTAATGTTGGGACATCAATTGGAAAAGTAGGATTTTTTGGACAAAAAAATCAGAAACTTTGGTGTTTAACTCATATTGAAACTCTAAGGTATGTTCTCTACACAGGAAATTTGGGATTTTTTTTAGACTGCTAACCTAAACCATTTTATACCTTTAGTGCCCTTTAGTAAGGGTTGTTTGGTTGAAATGGCTAAACATGTGTTTTTAAAGGAAACGCGTCAGAGCTACTTGCATAACTGATAAGCAGAATATGCCTATTCCGGCTATCAAACAGGCTCTTAGTTACTAGACACATAAGTATCATTTTCTTTACGCTCACGTGTTATTATTTTATATCTTTTATTAGTATGTGGGACTGGCAGAATGAAAGGGTTGAAGCAACATTTGAGGATGCCCGTTCATTGGCCTCCAAAAACTGGAATCTAGATGAGGTATGTCAGCGACTTTTATGCTTGTTTTTTTTTTTTAAGGAAAGATTATTACGATATTCTCATTATATAAGATGAATATTTTCTCCACAATAAGACTTTGTTTGTCAAAGTAGAAATAGGAGAGAGAATTTGAGCTGGAAGAAATACATGTTTCTTTACTTTGTTAGGAATAGAAAATTGAAAGAGGAGTTAAGAGGACCCTGAAGGAGAAATTTGCAAACAATTCCGCCGGTGACTATGACCCGCATAAATAATGACCTCTAATATAAAATTGGAATGTAACTCTAGGCATTTATCATTTTTTAAAGGAAAACCCCACAACACTTCATCTCAGAATATAATCAAGGTGGTGATGGTGAACCTGTCATGTGAGAAGTTTGCATTCGTTGTCCTGATTATGATATACCTCACATGCGTGACTGGTTGATTGCAGGTGGACTATTTTGTAGATTGCCACTACTCAGCCGAGGAAGATAGATTGTGGGCCATAGGCGGTACAAACGCTGGCACATTAGGATACTTTCCTATAGATTACAAAGGGGCACACCCAATTGGGCCACCAGACATGGTTTTACAAGGCGGACATGGAGGTGTTGTTAGGAGTGTAGTGCCAATGTTCGCAAGATTACCTACCAATGGCAGCGGGATCACCCAAAATAAAGGCATCTTTGGATGGAGTGGAGGTGAAGACGGTCGCCTATGTTGTTGGCTATCTGATAAATCTACTGATACAAACAAATCATGGATCACAAGCACTCTAGTTCTGAAATCCCCAAAACCACATTTGAAAAAGAGGCATTCTCCTTATTAGGCAGACATCTTATGTTGTAAAGTACATTGTTGTCTATACGAAGTATTTATTATGCAACGCTCATTCTCAATTTCTCTTTGTAGAAAAATGCATTAGTGAAACAATCCAATTGCATTGGAATTGGAAACCGTTTGTCAGGTCCAATTTTAGTAAGCCGGAACTTTACCATATTTAACCATTGAGATCTGGGAGTCTGTAGCCCAACGCACAATTTATAGGTCGTTCATCAGGCTCACTTTCTCTTACCTGACGGCTGATGACCACCTAAAAGTAAAGGGAAAAGATGGCCTAATGGTACACTTCCAAATTTCTGAAATGAAAGCAAAGTAACTAAAACAACCCTCCAATAAGTCAATAACGTGACTATCAATGGAAAGTATATATACAGATGGAACTTTCACATGACAAACGGTGGTGTATAAGTTACATGACAAAAAACACCATTTTTGTTTTCTTCAGCATCTTTCCTCATAATGAAAAATATATACACAAAGGAGTGATCACATGAAGCTCAGATCTAAGTCTCCTGTTCTTGATAGAGTGGCCAAGTCGATCAAGTGACGCATGGTTGGTCTCCCATGCGGACAGTTCCAAGGAGATTTCAATTGTGCCAAATGCTCGAGTATCTGAAAATGCTCCCGCCCAGAGCAAAAGTCAAGCTAAATTAAAAGGAGCACAAGTATGACTAAATTCACAGACAAAAAGCTAGCTATCTCAACTTGGTTAAAGTAGTTGATTTACTAGTTCCAGGATACAAAAAGAATAGTAGTAAAATATACGCTCCCTCCGACCCATTTTACCTTTCATGTTTGAGTTAATCCCCAAAATAAGCGTCACGTCTTCTTTTTTAGAAAGAAATATGTGGTCTGCAGCATTACACTTTATTATACTCAAATCTCAACCACAACTTTTATTTTTTCAACCACTTTACTAAGAATTGCGTCGAACCAAAGTAGGACACATAAAAAGGGATGGAGGTAGTACATAGAATCGTTAAAAATGAAAAAAAGACAAATAATTCAAGGACAAATAATCCACTTTTACTATTAAGCACCTCTTCGATGCTCTAAAAGATCACTTTTCACAAGCACAACTGAACACGAATATAGTCATGGTCTTTTAAAATAGTACATCTCTTTGCCATAACAGAGTTGGACTTGAAGAAAAAGGATGGATCGGGAATGGGATTGGGAGGGGTACCTTATACATCTCATTCCTGCCAAGTGGATCTCCAATCATAACAGATGATCTGCAAGCACGTGAAGCCAACATTGCACGCACTCTTGGTGGGCACACCGAATCACATGTGTCCGTCTTATAACTACGTTGAATATTATTACACCCTCCCTGTCTATCATCATCAGCTAGAATAGAAATCAGCTCCTTGACATCTGCATATGTAAACATGAAAACTCAGCAATATGAATCTTTTTTAAAATGCTTCACAGTCAAGAGTTAAACTCCTGCAACATAGAGAGATACAAATAAAAGTAATATATTTCATATCAGGTTTAGTAGAGTATGCAAAATGACTTTGTAACTAACCAGTATCTCACTACTAATAACAGCTACCTATTACTTGGAAATTACCTGCGACACCGAACATTATCTTTTGACTGAAAGGAACTGCCTTTAGATTGAATCGGAACCCAGGAGGAGCGTGCACATCTTCTTCCAAAGTAAATCCATTTTTCCTTAAGAGTGCAAGTGAAAATGATTATGTTAGTTTACAACCACAGAAATGGTATTACAAATTCTGATAAAACTTCTTATGCTACAAATATAAAACAAACTAAAGCCTTAAATCCCTGCCATTAGTGAACAAAAGTGAGACTCACTAGAAAGATTAAATCAATTGATACATAACCAAGTTATAAGAGTGTCCTAGCAAAATTAACTGTTCACATAGGTATTCTTGGCATATAACAGCATTGCACCAGTTACGAACACACCTTATGGTTTCCATGTTCATGGAAACAATTATTTCTTCTTCAGGAGATAAATCCATCTTCAATGGCCTATAACATTTGAATGGTCAATTAGAATAACATTAGCTTATCGATAACAAACACAAAAAATTATAATTTCTTCTATTGATCTACAAGGTTGTCCAACTTACAACACACTTATCATTAATGGACATATTCATGAGTGAAAGAGATAACTTAAATAATACTTTGTCAGACCTACTGCATGCTTGAAAACTATTAAGCAATAGATTAATATCCTCACCGAAGCAAAGGTTGCTGATTTAAAATTGTTGACTCCGACAAGCGTTCATAGTTATACTTCTCATCTGCAGCATGCTGACACAAGGAGAGGTATATAAATCATTTCCAACAGATAATGAATTAGCTACCATTCTACCAACAATCCACCACAAGAAGAAAATGAAAAGGTTGATCAACAATGTACTACTTATTTTGTATTACTGATTATTTACTTCAAGTAAGAAAACCATTACCTGATCCACAATAAAAAGGTCTTGATCTAACTTGCCAATAATAAATCCGAGATTGAATTGTCCAACAACCTGCACAGCATAACTGGGTAAGAATAAGAACTGAATTATCCTGCCCCTCCCAACATATTGAATAAATAAACGGTCTGTCGGTCATAGTAAAAAATAACAATAACAAGTACTTACGTGAAGACCATATATAAGTACTAAAAAAACTCTCATTCGGACCAAGTATCCATTTATATAAAATGCTTCTTAAAATAAACCTTTTGCATAGAAGAAATATATAAGCCAAGCCTCATGTTAATCGATTGTGAATATAAGCTGCGAATAGCAAGAGGCTTAAAATGGAAGGTTGTTTTGCTTATATGATTTACAATTGAAAGGAAAACCTGAAAGTACCTTGAATGGATGGGAAAAATATACAAACTACCAAATAAGTACATCAAATATTGGACCATCAAAAGCTTAAAGTTGTGACTTTTTAATAATACAAGTAGAAGTGATATCCTTCATGAAAATATCAGATTCTTTGAAACTAGTGACAGAAGTACAGATCCTTCAAGATACATTTTGAATTGTATATGAAGATGATGAGCCAACCTTCATCTGTGAAAAGTTTTCTTTCCTGAACAACCTTTCCAACTCAGTAGTCGCAGCAGCCAAAGCTTTTGTCTTTCCCTCTTCATTAAGAGGTTGAGAGAGTTCCAATGATGCTGCAGTATAGCCCCTGTAAGCAGCTCAACATACAAATCGTTTCAGAATAAACAAGCATGTTACATTTACTGCTTGAGGGGAAGACCAATAGGTGGATTGGATACCTTTTCATCCCAATGTTCCTAGAGGAAGTGGTGCCCATTTGTAATATTTCTAGCCTCCATTTCCTTCTCGCCATCAAGTCTTTAAAACTAAATTGCATACTATGACCAATCTTTGAGTCCAAAGAAACTTTTTGAGAATCAGATGATAAGTCACTAGGTTGTTCTGAAGCAGCTAATACTGAACTGGTGGAAGAATATGATTTATTTTCACCTTTTCTTTCCTGAAATATGAAGCATTGCTAAAAATTATTATAAGGTAATAAGACAAGCATTCCTTATGAGAGATAATGTACATGAAGACACAAGCTCCTTTAATAATAAAATGTGGGCCGTATATTCTTGTACCTCTATGTTCTCTCCTTGGCATTTTCTTTCCATGCTGGGAATCACATTCTTCATATGGTGAAGGATTCTGCCCACTTTAGACGCAGCTGGAGATTCAGTCCTATTTTTGTTGGTTTCATCAGAACCATCTACCCTGATATAGTCCTCCACAGGTATCGAATGGCAAAGTATAGATTTATTTCTCAGTACGGGAACCTCAGTCAGAGGTGAACTAATACTCTCATGCTTTCTCTTATTCAATGCCATATATTTGGTAAGTGATGATTGGACAATATTCGAACCACTGGTGACACTTCCATTTTTTATTCCGTCTTTTGTTACAGGTGTAGAACATAGCAAAGGAGGGTTATCTGTCAAGTTACTCTCCAGACCCATAAGCTGCTTCTCAGAATTCTGAGATAACTTATCATCATCCTTTGTAGAATGAAATCGTAGCCTAAAGTCATTTTTTGTTAAACTGACCTCATTTTTTTGCAACGTCACTACATTAGGAGAATTGCATATGTCCTCTTCTACTGTTCTCAGTATATCACCATCTGCAGATTTTTCTCTGATGAGTGCTTGTTTGTCAGGAAAAGTTTGATCGGGTGATACTTGTTTTAATCTTAAATCTGACATCGTTTGCTGCACATAAGTCTTGGAATTATGTTTTTCTGGTGTCATGTCTTCAAATGTATTGACAGAATAACTAGCAAGGTCGGGTGAGTAAATCTTATCTAGAGCTTCTCTTAAGGACCCCAAAATGGAACACTCATCAGAAAAGAATATTTTTCTTTTATCAGGAGTAACATTCACATCGTAAGCTTGAGGTGAAATTACAAAGTTCATTATTGCAATGGGAAACTGCTTACTGTTTGCAGCTCTATACATTTCATTGACAAGTTTGCTGACTTTGGGCATATCTACTGGCCGACCATTTACAAAGAAGAACTGTCTATCCCCAGAGTTTCTCCCACTTCCGTTTCCACCCTTGGAAATGAAGCCATCAATTTCACAGCCCTCTTGAATGCACACTTTCACAGGCTCTAAGCAGGTAAAGGTGCTCATACCAAAGACCGCAATGATATTATCTTTAAGGGATCCACTTCCTTGTGTTTTCAGAACAACAGTTTTTGCATTCTTTCCAGTTGTGTTCGTGCATAGCAATCTAACCCCCTTAGCAATCAAAGCATACGCCTAAATCCCAGAAAAGAAAAGATAAGTGTTGGTATCAAATATATGCTGAAAAAGATGTTCAGAATTGTAGGCTTACATTCAACAAAGTGATAAGCTTCCCATAATCCTTCCGAATGTTTCTATGAAACTCCTTGCTTCTAACAGGCAAATTGGAGAATAGCTTTTTAACAGTGATAGTTGTGCCAACTTGGCGAGCTGCCTTTGATTCTTCTATCAGAAGACCAGAACGATTGAAAGCTAAATGTGTTGCTACTGGTTCATTCTTGGTTCTCGTCTCTACGGTTAAATCTCCTAAAGCACAAAGGGAACTCAATGCTTCCCCTCTGAACCCAAAAGTTGCTATGTTCTGGAGATCAATAAAATCTGATAGCTTTGAAGTATGATGCTTCTGGGCAAGAACCTTCAATCAATCCAAACATACACCACTGGTTAGCCTAATTAATCGAAAAAAAAAAAAACACAAAAATAAGAAATGTGCACTGCACATAGACGATTTTTGTTTAAACCTTGAAATTGTGGGGAGAAATGCCACAACCATTGTCTATGACCTGGAACGACTCGGCGCCGTAGTCTCTAAGAGAAACCTCAATGCTGGTGGCGCCAGCGTCTAAGCTGTTCTCCACCAGCTCCTTGACGGCAGAGGGAAGATCGAGAATAACCTGCCCAGCACAAATTCGGTGGACGACGCCCTTGTTAATGGGTTTGATGATTGGGGAAGCCAGAGGCAAAACTGTTCCTCCCTCCATACGAGCGCTGAACGAGCTTCAGTAGGGAATTTCAGTTCACTTCAAAAATGTAATTTATTAGAGTAGTTCGTTTATTTGTAATTGCATAAGAGCGCGTAAGTAAATAACCCTAAGCGGCAAGGTCATTAACCGCCCAAATTTGCCGCCAAAATCTTGTTTGGGGGATAGCCTGCACAAAGGACCAGCCCGCCCAGACCGACTGTACAAATAAGCTTATACGCTAGCTTGGACATACTATACACGAAGAAGAAGAGTGAAATGTCCAGAATCACAAATTTGTTGTTTTAATAGGAAAGTGACAAAGTTTTTTTGGGACAATTAAAAACGGAAAGTTGGCATAGTCCAATAGGACGGAGAGAATATATTTTTGCTCAATAGCATATGGGCGAGAATGAGTTAAACTCTGGGCTCACTCAGTTAATTAGTCTTATCCTATTCACTTAGCATGTTTACTGTTGCTAAGACAATTACGTAGCAAGACATATGAAATAAATACAAAAATCACATGTTGCTGAAAAAGTTGTCTGCTAACTCAAACAGATGCTTAAAGTGTTGCTTACTAATCATATCACCCCTCACATATTAATTAAACGACAATTTAAACTTTTTCAGTTTCCGCATTTACCCTTATTCTTGCCTTTAGTGTTACGCCTACCCCACCTCATGTCCCCCCTGCTCACTACTCCCGACCTCGTACCCGACCCCCCTCCCCTTCACGTATTGTACCCTTTCTCCTACCCTTACTCATACCTACTACCCATGCCCCCCTGCTCCGACCCCGAACCCCCACCTCAAACCCTTACCCTTACCCACACCAGCCCATGCCCCTACCCTACCCTTCCACCTCTATCCTCCTTACCCCCTACACATATCTCGTACCCTTTTCCCCTACCCCTACCCCTACCCCATACTTGTGGCCCACACCCCTACCCCTACTCAACGTAGGGGTAGGAAGGGCAGGGGTTAAGGCTTGGGAGGGCGGGGCATGAGCATGGAGGGGTTGGGTCGTGGTAGGGGTAGGGGTAGGGTAAAAGGGGTTGGGTCATTGGGTGGTATGAATTGGGCTAGAGTAGGATCGGGGTGGGGGTAGGGTAGAAGGGGTTGGGTCGTGATAGGAGTTAGGGTAGGGTAAGGGGCGTGGATTAGGCCAGAGGTTTTGGGTACACGTTATGGGTGGTAAGTAGGGTAACACTGTTTATGCATGAGTGTTTGTATGTCTATATACATATATAATTATTTTGGACATTTTAATGTCAAACAATGTTTTAAATCATGTGAAGTAAACAAAAGCTCATAGCATCGGCGCACTGCTTATTTTACGCGCCGCTTGTTAACACAAGTCTTAATCAGCACCGCTTAGTAATCTGTGAAGTAATCGTGTCCTTGGTATATTTTAATATATACAGAGTACATATCTATTCACATGTAGATGTGTATATGACCCACTTATCTTATACTCTTTACGTACTTTAAAATTTTAGTAACTTTAATTTTTTAGTTGTCCCACTAAATTTGTATTTGTCACTTTCTTTTTAAATAAAGAATTTGGAATTCCATTTAATTTACTCTCTTCTGCGCAATCCTCAATCACATAATGTTTACTTTATTAATCTTTGTAGCTGTCAAATTCAGTCTAGTTTTAAAGAACAGGGGAGCATATAATAACAAACCTAACCAAAATAATGGACTCTGTATGTTTTTAAAGCAGTCTGATGGGAATCCCATCATGTCAACTCTATATTTGGCCGAAAAAGAAGTTCATGATCCAAAACTTTCATTCATTTGTATCGACTATTAGTTTCAATCACAACATGATCAAAAAATTAAAACTTTTCGAGCTTGAATCTAATTTTATGATAAAATAATTGTTTATGCAAGTATTATGTGTGAAAAATGGAATCGTAGGGCCTACTATTCAACAAAATTAAGATCTAATAGTTAAAACATACAATCGATACTAATGAATCAAAAGGGGAAAGAATCGGCCAGAGAAGCCTTATAAGGGAGGATTTGGATCCTCTGCCGCACGGACAATAGGGGAGGAGAAGCAGTGGGGCTGTTTTCGTTGAATCGCGTGACTATTAAAGCAAGACGGGGAAGGCTGTTGCAAGGCTGTTGCAGACGCTCTTAGAGCTGTAAAGAAGGCCAAGAAGCCTTCAAAGAAGGTTGCTCAAGAGGAGTCTGAGTTTGAGGGGGGCATATTCAAAGAGAAAATTGTCCACAATAAGACTCTTTCATATACTTTTGACTTAAGTAGGACCTGCTTAAATTTTTTACTTTCGTAGAACTCAATTAATCCTATTTTAGGAAAGTCAAATCTAACGTACCTAAAATGCCCCTGATTGTTCATGACTCGTAATAGACTTCCGCTTTTATTCCTTTTGCTCTGTGGTAACGACCTAGCCGCATACTACTTCGTCCATGGAAGGAAACACAATCCTACGCTCGATCTTCTTCAAGCTTGGTTGTGAACTTTTGCTGTCTAGTTTGGATCACTAATTCGAACTCAATCTCTATTAATTCTGACTCAGTATCTTCATTCCAATAGGAGTTAGCTGCAAACTTTTGACTGAGCTTCATCACAATTTATTGATTGTTTCTTCTGCGAATTTGTGTTGTAAGTTTGTATGTTGTGTTTTCTGATTACGATTTTGTGTTCCATGTTTTCGGAATTAGATTGTTTATTTATTTCATCATTTAGTTTTCTTCACACTCTAAAATAATATTGCTATGCTATATTGTGTACAACACTTCAAAATTCTGTGGACGTTTTATCACTTCTGTATACTACACTTCGACATTCTTCCGCATCAATAGATTTGAAGTTCATAGTACATGAGTTTGTGTATTAGTTGTTCTGCTTGTTTTAATCATTTAAGTCCTATATGTGTTGATTCACTGAATTTAGAAGACATATATTCCTCTTCCAATGAAGATTCATAACACAACTTAATTATTCATAGCAATAATGTTTCATCTTTAATTGTGTTTTTCAAGTCAAGCTCCCGGTTTTGATTCAGCCTCTCATTTTGATTTTTCGTGTGTTGTTCCTGATTTTGAAGTTTTTTCTCACTCCACCTTACTCATATAGTCAAACATGCTATATATAAAAAATAAAAAAGCTTTAGATTACTATTTAAAGATGTATGCAATTACAAATTATTTTCATTATAAGATAAATACTTCAAGCCCATAGTATTGCGTGTTGTTTGTGTTGATGATGGTTGCCTCTGGGCTGTTCTTGCAGTGGTGCTATCTGGAAGTCATATGTTCCATATTTGAAGGTATATGATTTGCATTTAGAAGTCACATGTTATGTTCTGAATTTCATATACTTCCTTTGTTACCTTGGATTTTAATGTCTCTATGTATCTGTTTAAGGACTATTTAATGTCTACAATTGTCTAATGTTTTGTGTTCGATCTTGTTTTCAGGTATGATTTTGATTATTCCTATTCCATTGATCTTAGGCAAGGTCTTCATTGTCAAGCCACATCTGAAATTATTACAAAACTTGTGCTCTTATTGATATAGAGGTTGACATAAATAGTGATTATGGTGTGATACTTCCGTACAAAGAAGCGTGGAAAGCAAACCTAAAGGCTAAAAATGGGTTCAGATGAGGAGTCTTACCACCTTATGTCATCCCTTCCATATGTTTTGGGACAAAAGAATCAAGATTCAATGATCCCACCGATTATGGGTGATGATACTCATATGAAGTACATTTTTATGTCTTTCAATCCATGGATTGAGGGCTGGAAACATTACTTTCGAGTTATTATTATTGATGGTTCATCTATGAAGCCTACTAATGCTAAAACGTCTTGAAACTTTGTTGTTAATTTGAAAGAAAGGGCATGTTCTAGTGCAAAAAAGGTGGTCTCAACAAGAAATATTATTCAGACAAAATGAAGAGCATGCCCTCAACCGGTGAATTTGCATCTCATCGGCGCTGTTCTTGGTGCAAGAAAGGCGATCACAAGAAGAAATCTTAGTGATAGACCCAAAATTTGTATGAGATAGGTTTTGAGGAATGAGAATGGTGTTATTATACTCCCACTAGGTATCACCAACATGCCTCACACACCTGATGATTGAAGACAGAAGGCTGCTGAAATAGTGATTGAACACATCAACATGTTGATTCTACTCATACATCTATTATGTCTCCAAAAGAAATGTATAGACCTTTGTGTCTATATTCATGTGATTTGTATCATACATATGCATGGGAAATATATCTAAAACTCATTTCAACAGTTGAATCTATCAAGTTTCATAGTTGGTTCATAATTTTGTATTAAAGTTTGTATTTATATTAACTATACGAATTTAATGTCTGCGTCTGAGACAATAAAGACGTATTACTGTCTACTTATGGACAGTATTGCATACTTCAATCCATCATTACAAATCAACTCAACACTAAATAAGAGTGATCATGCATTTCATATTTCACTAAAAACAAGATTACACATAGTCAAACTGATTGTAACCAATATTTACGAACAATGCTTAATGGTCAAAAGAAAGAATTCTACATATTTTTTTCTTTCCCAAGATCCTAATCATAATAATTACAAAGCATCGCAATCTAACTACTTCCATCTTGATGCATACATCAGTAGCTTCATCGTCATATTTAGCGGTAGCTATCAACATCTTCCTTCAAAACTTCACTTAAATCTTTACCCATTAGTACAAATTCAGCAAATTTGATGACAAACATACCACATTTGTCCCTACAAGTGCAAACTTAAAGGTGAGCATTTTAAATGTATTAAATTATGAAATGAATATCAAATTACACCATCATCTTGTTGTGGACAAATATGAACCACATCGATACAAACTGATATTTTCTAAATTATTGTCTTATTACGGACCGGTTAATGCCCATATGTAGACCTCAATCAGAACCCTCTGTTTTCTGGATCAGTCTCTACCAATTGAACACAACAGCCTATTAATCGTATTCATACATTTATTTTATCTTTAAAAGAGATGTATAGACCTTTATGGTCAAACTGTTTTTATTTGTCTGGTTCCATGTTTTGAAAATTCTTCTTCTCTGATTT